AAAAACTCAAACATATATTTTTCTAGGCAGAAAAACATGCATGGTGAACCAAAAAAACCCTTCAAAATCCTATTTTTGAAATGAATAGTCGAGGAGTTCTGGCTCACTCCCCTCCCAATATTTGAGTATATTTAAGCTCGAAAATAACTGGTAAAAAGTGTACCTCACTGAGAGCCTCCTCTTGAATGGATACTCCAAAATTGTTACCATCTTCGATGCGTGGAATTAAAAACAAAATCCACATTTTCACCTGGAAAAATTCGTTTTAAGAATTTCACATGTGGTTCGGCTGATTAAACAAGTATTATTGTTCAGAACCATTGCTGGCAGTGGCCTAAACGGTGCTGAGGCACTGCTCCCACCAGCTAAAAAAGTGCAAATCCATGGAAGTAAAGAGCAAATAAAAAGAAAAAGACAATTCTACAAAATATTTAGGAATCATTTCGATCTTATAAGATAATGATTTTTGACCTTATTAACCGCTTCCACAGCATCACGGAGCAGAGGCCGCGCGATATCAGTTAAACTTGCAAGTTTCTCGTTGCATTTCACAGTTCCGTTTATGAATTCATAAACCGGAGTGCCTGAAAAGTATAATGTTTTGATTTACGTTTCCAAAGAAAACTAGAGGTGAAGTACCATAACAGCCATAACGCATTTTCAGGTTCGATGCCATGCCTGTCATAACATACATGAAAATTTAAGCCTTCAAAAACACATCATGCTAAAACTCTCGACTATTCTAAACATGCGATAATCCTTCCAGAAGCTAAGCATGTGATTGGCTTTTTTTTTTTTGAGCACCATCAATCATTGAAAAGTTAACCATGCAGTGGTGCAATGCATGTTTCATCGAGTTTCCGTTTCTTCTTCTTCACTATTCCGTCATCATCACGCTCCGAGTCTGGTACCTCTTTCCCATGCTGAAAAAAGCGAACATAACAACTAAAAGAAAGATTTATACTGAAACCTGACTAAACAACAAGTAGTGAACATGGGAATTACCACGTGATCATCGAGCTGTTCCGGACATGGAATTCCCAAGCCGATAGTCGGCAGCAATTCCGGCAGTCGATCATAAGAAAATTGAGCATCCTGCAATATTTGAGTTGCATATC